CGAGTCGCAATACCCCCAGTGAAACTGAAGCTTAAGTGTTTTTACTACACGAAGTACACAAAGCATTGAGAAAAACAAAGAAGGATAATATAACAGCTGAATCTGTAGAGCAGAAATCCGAGGAGAATGAGGATCTACACGCAACTATTACTCCAAGACTTCAATGGAGGTGGCTGAGGTCCCGACCAAGCAAATCCCGAATCATAATAGGATGAAGGCTACGTCTTTACCGGTATAGCTTTTAGGATCTACTATTGTAATCCCTAGATGCGTGGGTTAAGGGCTGACAGGTTAACCTCGGGACTTCCGTATCGCAATGTCTGTTGCTAACGCTACATATAAAGTGAGTCCAGGACGGTGCCTGAAAGGCCTCGAGGATGGACCTGTAGGGGCTAAGTTAGAGTACTTACTGCAGAGTTATAAGAAGTGAGTAAAAATCTTGCGAGTCTTAAACAACATCTTGTATAAAAAGAAGCGGAAGTTGGAGTGTTACGCGTAGGCAAATTTTTATCCCAGTGGGGAAAGACCGATCATCTTTTTAGGTGAAGAAGTTAGGAGAGTATGTCAGTGGGTAACAGGTCTTGGAGTTTAAAACCTCTTTACGCACAAAATAATATTGTCGGGTGCTCGATGACACAATTATAACGCTGAGTAAAACTAATCTTGAGATCACACTGGGGACCACACAGCAGGAACCCGGCAAATAGAAAATAAAACAGAGCCGAGGAGCCACGATCAGAAATCATGGTGGAGTGTTTCCGGATGAAAGATATTTTAGAAGCCATGATAATTAAGTAATGAAAGTGCAAAAAGAACGTGAAAAGAAGAGCGTAATAACCGATGAAATTAGGTGTACTCGTGTAAAAAAGCCATGGACCGAACATAGTTTGCAGCGCCAAAGCTGGACGTCAGAGCCATAAAAGCTGGCAGCATGTGTTAAGGGTGGATGAAAAGTGGTGAATGAGCACTGTCCAACTAAAGAGAACAACCAAAAGAAGCAGTCAATACTAGATTAGGCAGGAGATCAAAAGACAGAAAACGGAAGGTCGGGAAAGGTGATTCTAGATGCCACCCTCAAGAGGAAGCTCTCTTCGAAGACCATGAGGGCAGATAACCTTGTGTTACGACACAAGGTGCGACATCGACGCTATCCTTAACCGACGGGATCAGGGTCACGGCTCAGAGCCACGCACGCACGCACACACACACACACACACTAGCCTATAGCGTGTCTGACCTTTGCGCGGGTTGGAGTATGGATTGAGTCCAGAACTGAGGTTGAGGTTACGGTCAAGGCTGATGCTAGAGTGGAGTCTATGGGTAGGCGGCAACAGCAAAGCTATGTTTGCCGTCACAACTAAATTAGAATTCGGGGTGGGTAGGCAGGGGAATAATTCCAAGGAAGGTGTGACATCAGGCCAATGAAACTCATGAAGATCAGAGTGCTACTGACTGATTCATGAAAACCGAGTTCTGACCAAGTTCTGGCAGTCCAAGCTGGCCGTTAGATCAAGAGTACTTATGATTCTACTTGTCAAGGCCGACTCTAATCTACTCTTAAGCATAGTGAGGTTTGCGGACTCCAGTTGAAGGCTTAATGAGGGAACTTGAAAACAACCTAATTCCTACTATATGTACTAGACTATCATAAGGGCATTCGTCGAGTAACGTTTAGATGACCAAAACCGGCGAGACAGAGACCTCGTGGCTCAATGGTTAGGGCGTTTGACTCTGATCAAAAGGTTGCGAGTTCGAGGCTCGGGTGGGACACCAGTTGAGTCTGGCTATGACCGGCTGACGACGGCTAATAAGCCAAAAATGGCCATGACAGTCTCCCGGCAATACTGTCTGCCTACTTCCAACTGTTACGGCTGTCAGGACCTCTGTCAAGGCTCAAGGCAAAGCTGGAAAGATAAGTTCTGTTCGTGGTCAGGTGAACGTTCATCAACAAGTGTAG